GAAGTATTGGCTCTCAAGCTATTCAATCATGTATACAGAGAAGTTATCTAAGAAATCCTTGAGATGTCATCTATATATGCTGATATTTTAAACTTCACCTTTGGTTATTCTGTTCCTGAGAAGAGTTAGAGAATAGTTAGCTTTTCCCTCAAAAAACAAATTCCTGAGAGATTGTAAAAAAGGCTGTCTAAAGATGTCAGTTAGTGATATGTAGCGCTAAAGCAGTTTGCTGTCATTTTTGGTGGTCTTTTCAATTGTTTACTAGGATTAAGATATTGAATGTGGTCTCCGGTCGATCTCTAGAGTAGGGAAATGATTGTTGCTGAGTACTTATCATGTCATATAACACTTGGGTGTCATGAAATGATACCAGCAAGGGGTTCATTACAGTTTGGCAAAATTTATCCTTGTAAAGATTCAAAGCTGGAAAGATTACCAGGTGTATCTGGTAGCTGGTGGGCTAAAGAGGAGCTCTTTATAGGGTGTGCCTTAAGGTCAGGCCTATTGGATTGTATATTTGTACACAGAACCTGCAGAGATTAGTCCTTACCTCAGGCAGTTCATGATTCCACTCTAGAGAGAGGCATTTGTCACTTATTTGTCTCAGACCCTTGTCCTTGTTTTGCAAATGCAACCATGATATCTTAGCAGAGAGGTGAAACTATACACTTCCTTATCTAATTCGTTTGTGCATTATTGGCATTCCTGTTTAGGATGGATGTATTACCATTCTCTTTCATTCGAATTCACTTGGAAGTAAAGTTTATCCCTGATGGGAGACCCCTTTTTAGATTACACGTACTTACCCCTGACCAGTAACTGTCTCCCGGTAGTCCTGTGCACTGCTCGGCTTGAGACTGAATTCTTATGCTTTTCATGACTCCTTTGGATGAATCTAGATCCATTCCCAGAGAGCAGTGTCAACTTTCCCTCAGGGCTGTGTGGGGGAGGTAGAGATGCTGGAACAAAACTGCGAACCTCTTAGGGAGGTAAAAGAGAGGAATGCATGCTTGATAGCCAATAGTGTCAAGTACAGTTATGTTCTTGCAGTTTCCAAGGTC